GTGCCTTCTCCAAAGACCACGAGCAGTGTCTGGCACCAAATTAAAAGCAAACATGGATTCTCTTGTGATCCTTAGTTTGCATCCTTTGTGAATTTTAGAGACAGAAAGTGTTTTCTGCTAGAAAACTGTAGAAAACAGTGCTATCAGTGGATGTCATAGAACTGAACAAAAGTAGGAGTTCTGAGGTTATTAGGAGGCCCAGGTTCAAGAATAGTCACCTCATGTGGGCCAGATTAACCATGTCTTTCATGTCTACGTGATCCAAGAAAGGCTTCATCACCTACCACATAACACCAAAGATAAAGAGTTAAATAGAGCTTTGGGCCATGTGAGAACCATCAAGAGTAAGTGAATCTGCATTTTGATTACACTAGAAATAGTTTGGTCAACTAAAATGAATGACTTCTCTGAGATTTGTGATTCCTCCTGTGAATTAAAGTATTCTGTATTTCCACTCCAAATGGTGGTCAGCAGAACAATGCTATATAATGGGCCCACAAAATAAGTCGTGATTGTTTCCTGTCATTCTGCTCTTTTGAATGGAATACTTTAAAATGAGAACTGGGAGATGTGAGATGGAATAGGAGCTTAGATTCTAATGGCACAATTTGAAAGTAACAGAAATGGTTCAATAGCAACTTAACAAAGATCCTTGCTTGCAGAAGGCATCTCCCTGGGGTTTCTTGACAGTACGGCATCTACATTCTCCTACATTTCAGGAATTTAGAGCGAGCTCAGAGGGAAAACAATTCACAGAAAAACCACGAAACTTATTATAGGAAATGAAAAACAGATCATAGCAGAAAACTCTCATTTTTGTATCAATTTTCTTTATAAAAGAAGGGACTGAGGAGTAACACAGTTACTGTCAGTAAGTATCAGCACTGAGCACACAGCGTGAATGAACTTTTCAGTATAGTGGACAAAAGTATAACAAGATACATTAACTGAAAGGTAGACAGTTCAAGCTAGGAATAAGGCACACATTTTTAACAGTGAAAGTAATTGAAACAATGTACCAAGGACTTCAGTGAATTTTCCTTTAGTGAGAATATGTATAGAACGACTGGAAATTTTTCTAGAAGACACATAATTGAAACAAGAATTAATTCATAGAAGTTCAATGACATGTCATACACAGGAGGTCAGAGTAGATTATCAAAAATGGGCCTTTGGAGCTTTAAAGTCTAGGACTTTTTGGAACATGGAAGAAGTATTAACTAATTTTCTTCCAGTAGAATGTCCTTAACAAAGATCAATTTCTCCATCTATCAATGGATTTTCCATACTTCTCTGCACTGTCTTAAGTCTTTCCCAAATAAATTAGTTTGGTGTAGTGAGATCAATAGTGATTTCATAGTGCCTTCTCTTCTTCACCCTACCTCAGTTATTATTTAGTCTATAATAAATACAATATATACAATCTTTATGTATAATATATACAATCTTTTATTCCATTTGAGAAACAACCCACCCAATTATATCTCATTATAGGATCATAAAATAAAAATTTAAGAAACACAGTAAAACTGCCAACTAAGAAATACCAAAACCTTCAAACCTCTTAAAAAAATTAGCTCTGAACATTTTTCTATTAAGAGCTAAGTGGTTTTTTGTTTTTTAAATAATTTTGTTTAGTTTCTAATTTCAGATTTTTTTGAGTTACGTCAAGTGCAAAAGTTTTTGTCAGGCCATGTGGAAAATAATCTTTACATGCTTTAATTGCTCTGCTGATTTTCTTTCATCTTTCAAAACTTGTCATGTGCTAATACCAAGTCTGGAAAATGTCAGTTCCAGAAGACATGCTTGTCAAATTAATAGCAAAGAAAAAAAAAAAACAAACAAAAAAAGAAGAGGAGTGGTCATGTTAAGAACTAAACTCAGTGATAATTATAATGGAATTTCAGTGCATATTATCAGTTTGCCTGACCTAAGATGCAGACATTAAGAGAGTTGCCAGCAGAAGTTGCCCTGGAGATGTGCTGAAGCAGCCTGTCTTTTGATGCCTAGACTGTCTTTTCTCCCTGGCTGACTTCATTCACATGCCTTGTCATGCCAATTTACTCATCCTCTCCCTTCCCTCCTCAGCAGTTGGATGTTGCAACCTATTTACAGTGCGGAGATTCCCTTACTGGGTGAACTTTCTGTTACCTGGCAGGAGAAATTCCTTGGGAATTAATGCAGTCTCAGTATCTGTGAAACAGCTAAGGGATTAGAGATGTCTTTTCAAGACACTGAAGGTTTCTGATAAAGACCACAGCAGCATTCTGCCAGAACTGCAGAGCAGTACTGATCCCATAAAAAACTGTGGGAGATTTTGCAAGTAGAATCTGACCATCCATGCAAGCTAGTATTAGTTATTATTAGTTATTATTAGTTATATTATTAGTTAGTTATCATATTAATATTGCTTCAGTCTCAGTGGAAAGTGATGTACACAGTGGCTGCAAATTCCACAGGCTTTATGCAACTCTACTCATGCTACTGCATGGAGTTTATGCATCACCCACCATGACAAGGTATAAAGACTTTGGACTGGGAATATCCAAAGTACAGTGAGATCAGCATGGTGAAATAAAAAAAATAATCTTTTTTTCCACTTCTGTCTGCCTCTTTTTTCTCATCTGTACTCTTGAGTTTGTGTGTCCATTAAAAGATCCTGAGGGGAAAGCTGAGGTAACAATATAAGGAGACAGGCACACTCCTGTCCCACTGCCACTAGAAAGAAGCCACTTGGTGACTTTCCAAAGCTCCTCAGCAGAGCTGTTGCCCACACCTGTCTTGTTCTAAAACAGTCTTACCCTTGGAGATACATCCACTACACCCTGTTCCGCTTCCTATTGCATTCAACTTGTGTGAACCTGGATTACTGTGTGAAGTGCATTCCAGTTAAAAATAAATAAATAAATAAAATGGCCTGTCACAAGTGAAATAGTTCAGGAGTTAGTGAAGTCTTGTGGACTTAAAAGAATGGTTTCTTTCCACAGTGAATGGAAGCCAGAATGGCTGTGAATCTCATCTCAGCATCTAGAAAAAAAAAAAAAAGCTGTCAGCCTGATTATAGTAAAGATGATAATATTATGTTGTTTAATCTTATCTGGATATGTCCCCTCCAGTGGTTTCCTGCTGGTAAACCACAGAGAGGAGAGGCGGTAGTAAGTAAACTAGAGGAAGTGAAATGAAATATAGTATGCTCTTTTGGTTAATAGGGGATTTATGTGAAGGATATTGCTAATTAAAACCAATGGTATTTTCTGCCATCTGGGCTTTCAAAATGAGTTTTGGAGAACACAGAGGATGTTTTGTTTCACTGAATTGCTTGTATCTTAGGGAAGCCACTGGGATGAAATATTAGTATTGTGGTAAACTCTGCTTTCACTTTAACAGCAACATATAAAATAAGCACTTTACAGAGCGTGAGTACATGGTTTCACCCGCATAATGTCCAAATGAAAGGGCAGCTTGGGGTTAGAAGAACAAAATCCACTCAGTCTACTCTGAGGTACAAGAAACTGCCAAATCGTAGTGGTTACTGGAATAGGAGCTCTTGTGTTCACCAGGCTACGTAAGTGTGGCTCCAGGGCTGCTGGATCTATGGAAACGTGGAGTCTGGGGATTTGCCTCCAGTGCTGACCTTCGGACCAGCCCACGGGTGGCATGGTGATTCTCTGGGAGCATGTGAAGCCAGGGGCTGCCCTGCTGCTACCTCTCACAGCTTCCCTCTGCTTGACCAGAGGGAGTTGAAGTTGCTCCAAAGACTTAGCCAGAATTCCCAAATAAAGCACCTCACCTCATTAACTGCACCAGGAAATACTGAGCAACCTCAGCAAAAAGATTTGTGAGTGAGATGACATCTTTACGCCTCGGTGAAATCTTGTGCTCAGCACGCGCTTACTTCATCTGGATTCTAGGCTCATGCCCAAGGCTGAGGAAACAAACCTAAACTTTCTTCAGCTTGCCTGTTCCTGAGTGCCTTGTGTCAGCAAAACGAGCCTTGTCATGTGGCTACCGGATGTCTTTTCCACCTCCCACACCACTTCCAAGGATCCCAGCCGGACCCACTTCCCTAAGAATGAACAAAAAATCCACTTTTGTTGTTAGAGTCGTCCTTATATCACTGGAAACAAACAGTTAGTAGGCGATGTTGGAACAATTCCTTGTGTGTTAACAGTGTGTGAAGATTAGCTTCACATGTGGCTGAGCTGTGGACTTTGAAGTTAAATATGAACAGGAGAAGTGAAGAAAAGGTACTGCAGGAAAAAGTTGGCACCCATCTTAAAAATCATCAACCTGTAGCCTGTGGGATGTCTCCTGTCTGACTTCTGCTTGCATGTTATTTGTGTAGCTGAGTTGTTGTAATACCTTCTGGGCCCATATTGTCAAAGGCTGAACTGTCCTGCTATGATTTATCCCAAATTTGTGGCAAGTGAGTGTCCTTCACTAGGCAATTCAAATAAATGCATGCTTCCTGCAAGAATTAGAACCTGAATGGAAAGTCAGTGTCCTCTTTTTTCCCACCCATTTCAATTGTATATTTATCAGTTTTCAGTTTGGGCAAGAGATCCCTCTTGCCTCATTTGTTCTTGTGCTCTTGAGGGCTTGAACATTCCTTTATTATTGCAAGAAGCTTCTGTTTACCTATTTTCACCTGTGTTCTGGTTTCGGGCCCTTGCTCTTCTCTTGTTGACTCTCTGAGGGTACACAGATGGTAGCCTGGAAGGCAAAAGGAATGATACTGGAGGAGTGAGAGAGTGAGAAGGAAAAGGAGTAAGAGAAAGAAAAAAAAGTGGTGTTTTTATAAAATAAAAAATAAAAAAAGGCAAGCAAAGCAGTGATCACAGCAAGATTCCAGACTGTCCTAACAGCAAAACCCTAATATGTATCAGTGTGCTGGATCTTGTCAAGATACAGGTAATGATTATTTTCGGGAATGCAACCTAAACACCATTTAGTGTGTTGGCTGTAAATGTTTAGACCTGTTAAGTAAGTCAGTTATCACAGCTCCATCACAAAGTACATTCTGTCAGCTGAGAAATACTTTTTTTTTTTTTTTTTAATTCTCAGCCATTACCACAGTTTGCTCTTTAATGGTGGATGTCAGCCTCAGAGGCATCACACAGCACACACCTAAGCATTTCTCACATCCAGATTAAGCCCCTTTAGACAGGAGAGTATGCAGAGGGGTGAATGCACCCTATGTACAGGAAGGAGTCAATCTCACCCCTGCATTCAGTAGGGACTGAGTATCATTTTTTTAGGGGATAAGGAAATACCATGACTTACAGATAAGATGTCAGGGGGTTTTTTTAAGCAGTGTTCTTTAGGATAGTAGGTGAAACACCGAAATATTCTTGGAGGAAGCTGATTTGCATCCAAAGTGTTTAATAAAACGAGACTTTAAAAGAAAGCAGAGTAAGTATATGAAAATATTGTTCTTAGCATACAAAACATTGCAGCTATTAGTACAGCGCGCTACCGCCTTCCTAAGTTTGCACATGAAATGTAGCCAAGCTTATAAAAGAACCATTTAGCTGCACTGAGGGTGCAGGCGGGGGAAAATCAGCCGCAGCCGAGGTGGATCAGGGACTACACGGGCGAGTCCAGCAAAGCCGGAGCGAGAGCGCGGCCCCGGGGCGGCTGCCAGGGGACACCTGGCGGCGGCGGCGGCGCTCCCGGAGCCTGGCACCGGGGATGGATGGATGGATGGATGGATGGATGGATGGATGGATGGATGGAGAGCGAGCCGCTGCCCGTCCAGCTTCCCTCCGTGCTCTGCCCGTCCAGCTTCCCCTCCGCGCAAGAGATGCGGCGTGCGAGAGGAATGACAGCAAGGAGAGAAAATTCAGCAGTCGCTGGCAGAGTCTGTCCTCGGAGAGAGAGGAACTCCTCGGAACAAGCAGACAGAGCCCTCTAGCACTGAGGGCTTGGTCAGCACGGAGATCAGAGAAAAGCGCTGCCTGCCATACTCTGCACACTCACACCTCTCCCGATTCCCTTTGTTCCCACTTGTATTTTCTGTCGTTTTGTCATTTCATTCCGTCTTAAAGGAATGAACCTTCTAGGAAGGACACTGCCTGTAACAGGACAGAGTGAAAAACACACCGTTCCTTTCACTCGTGGTACATTTTTCTGAGGCTGTTTGTTAGGACAGTAATAATATCATTTCTGTGGTCATGTCAGTACAGAGACAGTCTGCTGCTTAACTGGACTAGTGATTTTGGGTAGAAATTATAACATTCTGAAATAACATTTTTAACCAAAACAATAACACTCAAGCAGGCATCCAGACCCTAACTAATGCTTGCCAGTGCTTTTAATCTTGACACCTTGAAGTTTGTTATAATAAGCCTGCATGAACCTATGCTTGGATTTATGATTGTAGACCGTATTTCTTGCTGTAAAATGGGCATTAAAGGAACAGTTAAATGCAATTACCCAAAATCTGGCCTTTGGATTTTCAGCATACATGTGGTAGTTCTGTTCCACTTCTGCTCTGTTTCCAGAAAAGGGTAGTCAATGAGAAGTTTACTAGGCAGTGAAATACTTGTAAATGTCAACATTCAGCCTGCTTGCCAGAGCTGAGTGAACTGGTACAACCAGAAAGTTACTTACCCATGAGAGGTGGGTATGGGCGGAGGGGAAAGAAAACAAGAGAGGACTGGAAAAGCATAAAAGAATCCTGGATTGTTTCTGTAGGGTTCTGTAGGAGTAGACTTTATTCCAATCGTACTGCAGACCTCATCATTTGGGGGAGCAGATGGGAGCAGCCACATCAATCCTGATAACATCTTCTATTTTGCAACCTCTATGTAGAAATGGGTCCTGTGAATACAGATACGGTTCTTTGCAGAACTAGCCTGCAGAGTAGAAATAGGGAAATTCAAATTCTGAAAACAGCTTTCGGTTTGCTTACCAGAACGTGTGGGGGAGGTGGAGGAAATGTGGATACCTAGCCATGGCTTATTTGGCAGGCAAACGAACCTGTTCAGGGCTGCAGAAGACAGGGAAAGCTCCATGCTCCTGACCTATGTGAAACTTAAGTGCGGTACACAGGAGACAGAGCACACAGGGCAATTCCGAGAACTCCACTGCCATGTGCTTCTTCTCTGTAGGTATATTCTCCCCGGTTTCAAGATGCGGGTAAGAGCACGCACTGAAGGGGTGCGCACACAGCATCAGGCAGTGCAGAGCCTCCGGAATGACACAGAGTCCCAGTCACCCCGCTGCTCGCCACTCCGGGAGCTCCCGCAGGAAGGAGCCGGGGGTCTCAGGAGCCCGAGGGCGGCAGAGGGGCAAGGGCAGGGGCTGAGAGCGGTCGGGCCGGGCGGCGTTGTCCAGGGTCTTGAAAGCGGAGTGCGGGGCCAGGGCAGGGGCAGAGGGGCGGGGGCCGCGCTCGGCTGGGCACGGCAGCAGCTGGGGGTCCCGGGCCAGCTGAGGGGTCGGCGCTCCCCGCCTCGCTGCCCTTCCCGGTGCCTCCCATGCTCTGCCTCGCAGCGTCCCTCACCCCACCTGTT